TTTTCTCCAAGCATATTTGGTGTATCATCCAACAACAAAGAAGCATCACATCCCTAAAAAAAAAAGAATACAAAAATTAACCCAAAAACAAGAATTTTCAAATACAGAAAAAAAAAAATGGATTCTTGAAATTTTTACTATTACATTAACAAAGCAATCATGAAACTGCAATCTCATCACTGAGGCTAAGCTTCTAGGTTCTCTTTTCATTGCTTTTTTCATTACATTTTTGACTATAAATTCAGCTTCTGGGCAAGTTTCTGTGTAAAAACCTGGCCTAAGTGTAGCAGCAGCCATGGCTTCAAAGGTCAAGTTTATGAGGATGAAGAAGAAAAGAAGAGTATAAGACATTCTTGATTCTTGAATATTTTTTACTAGTGTTTAATTTTTGTATTGGTTCTTGAAAAGGGAGATGAATGGTATAGGGAAAAATTCCTGATTTGCATGATTTGTCAGTATTATATAGGGGAGACAAATAGGCCAATTGTGAAGAGTTTGTTTTGGTTGGGTGATAAATAGGGTGTGTAGGGTATAGTCATGACCTCTGCATAATTCTGGAAATCACTTTTGTCATTTATTTTCTGATTTTTCAACTAACTGAATCCACTTGTTGTATGAGTAGGACTTAGGAGTAGTATTTTTGTTTATAACCATATGGTATTTTATGTGTACTGTTGGATTAACCCAGATTCATATCACGTAAAATTAATTAAAAGGGAAACTGTTACTAGTCAATTAATATAGATTCATATCGTGTAAGACTACGTAAAAGGGGAGGGTCACCAATAATTTGTTTCATTTATAGAGCTCGAACCCTGTATTTCTGATTAAGTGAAAGATTATATGATTTACATTCTTGTCTAATTTTGTTCTATTTTTGAAAGATTCTCCTTTTTATGCCGGCATCATTAGTATTAATCTCATATTTTCGTATTTCCTTATCCGCGAATTTCCTTTATTATATATTATTTTTCGCTTCGAATAATCTATCACCTTATCACTTTTGCTCGTTGTTGTTACTATTTGTTTCTATTTCTTTTTATTTTTTCCTTGAGCCAGAGGTCTATTTGAAACAACATCTCTACCTCCGTAAGATAGAGGTAAGGTATGTATGCACTCTATCCTCTTCAAACCCCACTTTGTAAAATTATACTGAGTTTGTTGTTGTTTAGTATTTATGCTACTAATAGAAGTAGTTTTCAAAAGTGATTTAAGGTTGAAGATTCTTTTATTATATTTAGATCTAAATCCAAAATAAATGTGAACAATGCAAGTTAAAGGTAAGTTTATATTAATTACTTGATTAATATTAGGAAATGGTTAAGGATAATTCAGATAATGTGAATGAACTAAACAAGGGCGTAACAGAGTTTATTTGTACAAAATTATTTGATTTATTAAACCAAGAAATCAAATAAAAAAGTGACCACTAGTTAACTAGAGGTGTCAATATGGGCGGGGTGGGGCTAGCCCATTCCAGTCCATGTGGGCTTTAGTAATTGACGGGCTGGATTGGGCTAGCCCACCATTTTGATGGGCCTCATAATAGTCAGCCCACCCCAGCCCTATGTGGGTCGCGGGCCTCCACGGGCCGACCCATCATTTTTTTAAATATAATTATATATATTTTTTAAGTTCTAACCTAAAAAAGATAAATATTTAAACGTTAAAAAAATTTTATTGAAAAAATTTCACAGAACTTAATAACTTTCTATACTTTTCCAATATATCACAATAAATACTAAAAAAGTAAGAGACAAGACTATATTTCATTCACTAAAAGTCAAAACTCAAAAAAAAATATTCAAGAGAACGTCCATGACGCTTATGGGATATCCAACACACACATCATCTTCATCAAACACATTTAAATCCACTTATGAGAAGGTTGGCATAACATCTTTACTTTCATCTACATTTGCAATTCGTATGCAATATTAATTTGTTAAATATTAAGAATAATTAAAATTTTAAAATTAATTAATGTTTTAAGACTTTGATCTTTTAATATGATGAGCTTAATAAACTTTAAGCTTGGGATACTCTTCTTGTTATTTTTTGTGTCATATATTTTTTATATTTTATATATTTTAAATACGTATTTTTATTAGGCCCACGGGTCGGCCCAACGCAGCCTCAGTCAATCCTCACGGGCCACGGGCTTACTCAGGCCGGGCTTAAAAGCCTCGGTTTTAAATGGGCTCCAAAAATCCTAGCCCAACCCTGATTAAAATCCTCGTTTACTCGGGCTAAGCCCATATTGACGGCTCTATAGTTAACAACCAAAACCAATAGTAATTAAAGTTAAGTCACAAAAGTTAAAAGAATAATAATTGGAAAAAAAACAGATATTCACGTTATCACTCACGTGGAACACAATAAGCGAGTTGATAATTGTGCGCAACCAGCCAAATCAAGAAATGAACCCAATTTATTCAAATTTTAAGGAAAAAATAATAATAATTTAGTCAAGTATCCCTTAATGCTATTAAATAATTTTATTAAATAAACATAACAAAACAACAGATAAAGTGAAATTTAGGCACATGGTCAATTCTTCGTTTTGACACAAAAATTAAAAAATAAAAAAATTCTCTTTGTATTCTCAAATGTCGAAATACCCACCAACCAATGGAAATTAAATCATTGTCCTGGCCTTATTAAAACAATGAAAATTAGTAACTGAAAGTTTTAATACTTGTTTTAACTAATCAGATTAGTTTTGCTGATACAAGCAAAAGCTCGTTTTAGGCATTTTTCTGCCTCTTAAAACTAATTCAAAACATGCTATACATGACCAAACCTACAGCAAAATTGAGCCAAATTAAATGCTGATGTTTAGTTTAATAGAGAAATATTGATACTCTTCCACAACAAAGGATTAGAAAATTAATAAATAAACTTTTGAGCAATATAATATGTGATATATATCGACACATATCGTCTTCACATATTTTCTTTCCTTTTTTGCACTTTAATTTACTTTTGATAACTCTAGTATTCTGTCAAATGTATGTACCTTGACTAATACATCTCACCTATACAAATACCGAATAACTCCATCCTTTTCTTCACTTAAATTTATTTTTAATAACTCTGGTGTTCTGTCAAATTTGCATGTACCTCGAATGAAATCAAATATTGTTCAATCTATTGGCTTTCTCAATCCGTTTTTAGCATATTTGAGGATCTATTTACCTCATATATTTTCTATTTTTACTAAATTTACATTTATAAATCGTAAAAAGTTAAAAGATAAAATGGTATTTCATCTTTTTTCATTGATTTAAGATCTTAAGTGGAGAAAATAGGAGGGAGAAGGAAAGTGGATTATAGTCCCCAAAAGTAAAAAAATGTGCAAATGGGCACGACCTCCCACATCGCATAATAGATAAGGAAGCATATATCCTAGTTACTACTTTTGATTAAAAAATAATGACTTTTTAACTTTAGATAATGTTGGAGATTTGGTCTTATTCTTACATAATCTGCTTTCATGATAACGTCATCTCCACTTGTATGATAATTGACCGGATATATATATATANTGAACAACCTCTTCTATTGAATTCCAATAGACAAAATGTCCACCATCTGTTTTGATGTAGTATATATATATATATATATATGGGTTTTGCTAACATACTACATGAAGGTAATATGTTAGCACCCTACCCATTTTTTATTTTACATAAATGTCCCTGCCACCTCAATAAGTGCTTAGCCTTTTTAGTCTTTTCACCGAAATTCTCCCACTTCACTTAATGCCCTAAAATTTATATTTTCAAGACCCTCCCGCTAAATCGCGCATTTACTGTACATAACTGGCGGAAAAAAAGGGACCAAGCAACCATTGCTCTTCTATGAAATTCCAAGGTTATTTCTTAAGTTTTCTCTTCTTCCAACATTGACTAGTGCATAATCGAGGTAAGCATATACTAGTATTTTGCTACTTTTTCATTTGTTGATCAAATTTTGGGTTAAAAATATATTTTACTTTTGAAACAGAGGTGTCCAGTGATTAAAGAATTTTTAGTTTATATTTGCTTTGTGCCTTCCAATTTGTTTCTTGCTTTTTGATTTATAACACAAATTTACAGTTTCAGTGAACTGATTCTATAGTTGGATTACTTAGTGTGACAAAATTATTTCTTTTGACGGAATTAAAAAATACAGGTTTTTAACAATACCAGTGATTCGACAATAGGAGTTTCAAGAAGCCATTGTCCATGTGGTGATATTGAGTGCTTTATTAATGGAGATACAGTTGTAGGAACTATTACAACTTCAAATGAGGAACTTAAAAAAGAGAATGTTATTCATATTAGCGATGGTGATTTGCAAATAGGAAAAGTGTTTGATAGTGATGATGAAGCTTACAATTACTATATGAATTTTGCTAAAAGTTTTGGTTTTTCAGTTAGACGTGATCGCCATTCAGGAAGTGTAGAATATCCTATGGGAATTTATAAAAAGGATTATGTTTGTCATCGAGCTGGTAGCCCTCGTCCTCAAAAGGTAGTTGAAAAAGAACGACAAAGAAATCGAAAATCTTCCAGATGTAGCTGTAAAGCCAAGATGTCCATCGCCAAAGATATATTTGATGGCATCACTCGTTGGACAGTGGTGTATTTTGATAATGTTCACAATTATGAACTTTTGAGTGATAAAGAGGTACGATTTGCCCCGCTTATCGAAATATTGACATTGTTGATCAAACACGAATTACACTTCTTGCAAAAGCTGGTTGTTCAATAAGTTTAATCAGAAGAGTGATTGAATTAGAAAAGGGAGTAGATCCAGGCCAATTGCGTTTCAGAGAAAAAGATATAAGGAACTTTGTTCAATCAGAAAGTTCAACTAATATTGAAAGTGATGCCCTGGAGCTATTGAAAATATGCAAGAGCTTGAAAGACAGAGATGTTGATTTTCAATATGATTTCACTGTTGATGGATGTGAAAGACTCGAACATGTCATATAGGCATTCGGAGACTCGAACATGTCATTTGTCGATGGATTTCCAATAGATGAATTGATCTCTCAGTTTGACCTTGGATCAGATAGGCATATAAAATTGCTATATTTAAATCGTGCATCTTGGGCACTGCCATACTTGAAGGGATACTTTTTTGCTGGAATGACAACGATTGGACGCTCAGAATCTATTAATGCATATTTGAAAAGATTTTTACATGCAAGACAAAGTTTAAAAGAATTTGTTGAGCAGGTTGCTACTGCAGTTAGTATAAGAAACCATGCTGGTGAAGAGGCAACAATGCGGCAAAAGTATTACAATCCTCAAATTAAGACATTCATGCCGATGGAGAAACATGCATCAAAAGTTATCACGCCCTTCGCCTTTAAGTTGTTACAAGATGAGATGATACTTTCTGTTGAGTATGGTCTATTTCCACATAGTGATGGATCATATCTTGTGCGTCACTACAGCAAAACAGATGGTGGACGTTTCGTCTATTGGAATTCAATAGAAGAGGTTGTTCAATGTTCTTGCCAAGAGTTTGAATTTTCAGGAATTTTGTGCAGGCATTCTATTCGAGTACTTAGTGCTCATAACGATTTCATGTTACCTGATAAATATTTATTGGCTAAGTGGAGGCAAGAAAACCCATTGGTTCTAAAGTTTACTCATATGATGAAATCCAGTAATGATAACAACGAGTTCCAGAGTCTTCATTCTACATTCAGAGATTTGACTCTTGAATCTTTAAAGACAAAAGGTCGTCTTGAATATGCTAAGAAGGAATGGCAAAGAGTGCTGCAAATTGTTCAATGTTTTCCTAAAAATGAGCGTATGAGTGAAGAGCATGAACATGTTTCTATTAGTCAATCTATAGAGAGCAATTCTCTAGATGAAGATTATCACATTGAAAATCCACAACAATCTCAGACAAAGGGAAGAAAAAAAGAAAAAAAGTTAGTTGGGGGCATTGAAGCTGCAAAGAAACTAAGATATTGCAAGGTTCCTAATTGCGGTGGAACTGGCCACGACTCAAGAAATTGTCTACTGAAAAAGAAAATTTCAGAAATTCCAGCAACTCAATCTCCTAACAAGTAAGTATATGAGTTTCATAATATCTAATCTCTTGTTAAATAAAAATACTCATAATGCATACAAACTGAAATAAAAATGTTATTTTGGTTGCAGGATTCTAAAAGGATGGACAAAGAAGCTCTAAGGTGATCCAACTATGAAAAAGTCCTTTTGCTTACTAGAATCAGTCATTGTACATCATAGTTTGTTGATCTCAAGTTGAATTGTGTAGAGATCAAAAATTACAAGAAATTATTTTCTGTTTATGAACAAGAAATCAGCTGTCGTACATTATTTTTGTGAATAGCGACATCTTTTATTTCATGTAAATTTTGTTTTAGATGAGTACAAGAGGAGGGGCTTTAATCAATGTGTTTTCATCTCTTACTACTTAATTTGAACAAGAAATCTTTTGCTCATCAGAACAATATATTGTATACCAGATCAATTATTTGAATAGGAATATGCTTTATTCCATGTAAAAACTGGTTCAGATGTACAAGAGGAGGGGGACTCAAGCCTAACCTCCAATGTTACTTTTGGTAGAAGAGAACATCCTCTCTTACAAAATTTCAAGAATAAGCTACTAGTTTCTAAAGCTAAATTCATGAAGGAGAATCTCTTCATTGTAGAATTTATAAGTGCTATGAATCTAAATATTTCTTGAGCTTCAAAAATATCAAACTTTTCAGCAATCATGCCTTCCAGCTACTATCCATCTTCAATTACATAGAACTGACTTCTATGCTGCAAAAGAAAAGAGTTACACCCATCTAGTTATTTATCCATCCAGTTATGAACATGAAACATTCTAATTCCCAATTGTAAATTGTAGGAAGTAATTAAAAATATAAATAACCCAAGGAAAAATAATTGACTTACAATCTAGTGAAATACGCCTCCAACCTTCACCCTTCTTACGCTTTCCGTCATCCATAGGGAGCTAATAAAATTATACGAACTCTACCAAACAAGACCAACATCGCCGCAAAATGAATTGTAGTTGTGAAAAATAAAATCCTAGAATTTAAGGACGAAGGCAAGAAGAAGAAAACAGAACATATCTGCGTCCTGAAGCAGATCTTGAAAATATATTTTTAGGGCATTATTTGAAGTGGTACTGAACTGGAAGATTACCTCAAAAAGTGGTAACACAAATTCACACAACTCCAAAACTGGTAATAGTTCTTAGTCTTAGGAAGAGAAAGAAAAAAAACCAGAAGAGGGAGAAGAGAAGGGGCGTGGATGGAGGACGAACTAGATGGGGAAAGAACATGACTTGGCTTTAGTGTTTATCTGAAAGGACAAAAATACTCTTTTTATTTGTGAGTTGCCATTGCATCATTAAGGGTATTTATGAAAAATAAAAATTGGGTAGGGTGCTAACATACTACCTTCATGTAGTATGTCAGCAAAACCCTATATATATATATATATATATATATATATATATATATATATATATATATATATATATATATGTACCGACATAGTAAAAAATATATATTATTAGTGTGTTTTAACTCGTAATAGAAGGTAGTCTTTTATTTTTTAAATGACTAATTTCACGTGTTATGATCATTTACATGTAATTATCATCCACCAACCGGTAAAAAAAAAAGGAGTTGCAATTGTATAATATTATATGTATAATTCATGTGTAATATGTGTACTATAATTATATTTAATTAATCTTAGAATATTCAGAAATGTAGTGTAATGGTCCAAATTGTAAGGTCCTTGTTGCCTTATGTCAATGAAATGTAGCTTAAGAAGAGAAAAGCCAAACAATAGCCAGGTCCCCTATATGTCATTTTACACAAATATGTGTATTGTGACACATCCTTATGTAGGAAAATAATTGACAAAAACCTAACTATAGTCTATAGGTACGTCATTTTTCAATATTACTTTTACGTACAAGATTTTTTAGCACAAAATCGGCAAAAAAAAGAAAGTTACATTTCAAAAGTTCTATTTGGAAGAATTATTTGAACATTCTTCGTACGTAGCATAATTTCTTTCTCATATTTATCGACGAACATTATTGAGAGACAAATTATATTGTATCAAGGAAAAGAATGAGATATTTTTCTCTAACGAATGGGAGGTAAACAGATATTTCCTTAAATTGGTCATTATTTTGTAAGCAGCTAATAATATAATCAAGTATTGAATATTTTACCTAAATAGGTGCGCATTTAATTAGTGCGTAGCATAAGATTCGATTTTAACTAGTACTTAAAGGTATGGCCTATCGACCAATAAAGTACATAGGTCTAAATCACGGAGAAATTCAAAAATAGCCAGATTTACAAGTGGTCGTTCAAAAATAGCGCAGTTTCAAAAGTAATCGAAATCTAGCCACTTTTTATGTAAAGATAAATCTGAGAGAAAATATTGTTCAAAACCCGGAAAATACGCCAGTATATTATGCTGGAGTTCCAGCATAAGTATACTTGAACTCCAGCATATTATATTGGAGTTCCAGGATAAGTATGCTGGAACTCCAGCATAATATGATGGAGTTCCAGAATAAGTACACTAGAACTCCAGCATAATATACTGGAGTTCCAGCAAAGTATATCGGTCCAGTATAATATGCTGGAAGTTCATAAACAAGTGCTCGAATCTCCAGTATATTATGCTGGAACTTTTCGTGTGTTGGAGTTCCAGCATAATATGCTGGAAGTTCATACACAGGTGCACCGAACTCCAGTTTATTATGCTGGACCGGTCTCTGTTGCAGCAAAATAGTGGCTATTTTTCATTGACTTGGTAAACGCTGGCTATTTTTGAATGACCAGTCCGAAAACTGATTAGATCGTGCTATTTTTACTCTAAATCATGATAAATTAAGGTCCAAAACACAACATACACACACACATACAAAAATATTAAGTGATTTTTTTTTGTCTGTCTAAGTTTTGGTGCTCACCGGATAAAATTGTGATAGGAAACGGATACCAGTTATTGAAATAATTAAGTGAGACACGAGTTGAGCCAGACATTTCTAACTTGTCATTCTACCATTTTCTTTCATATTGGACCCCAACGGCCAACACTATACCTAAAAGAATGAAAACCTCAGTAATCAACATATGTATAAATTTTACTTAATGTTGAAAAGTGGTAAAATTCAGTGGCGGAGCTATATGGATTCAAGGGTGTCAATCTATACCTTTTCGTCGGAAAGTTACACTCTATAGCTAGATGATTCTTTTTATGCATATATACTACACATTGACACTCTTTAACTTCTCTATCGATTTACTTCTTTATATTTTGACCGCGTTAGTGAAAATTTTGGCTCGCCCACGAGTAAGAACTAAGGTGCTATAGCTACAAGAATTTGATTGCTTAACAAATCATTATTAGACTTAATACTAACGATATCCTTCACACTAATGATATGATCGCACGTGTCCATCACTTTATGGTCAGTGGAGAACTTTGTGGAAATGTGACCATTTATTGAATGCCAAATCTAAAAATTCAGCCTATATTTACCCAAGCTAGGGGACTGGTGATTGTTGGGAAAATGGGGAACAAATAAGAAGCATAATTGGCATCCACAAAACTGTCTGTTGGAAGGAGGATAGAATTTGTTCCCATTTGGAATGTCAAACATGATTGCCATCAAGAACCAACAAAGGCAGTTTGTTTGGAGGGTTGTTCGTATTGTTTCATAACGTATTATATTATAAGCAAAATATTTTAAAATCCTTTAAATTTGTGTTACGATCCGAATTTCTCATCGTCAAAACCGTGATGGCGGCTAACATTGCACTCGCTAGGCAAGCCAATGTTATAGAATATCTCACCTTTTTCTTTTACATTTTATAATTAAAACTTAACAAAAATAAATCAGCGAAATTAAATGCGGAAGAACACAGTTTAAAAGATTATCTTTACACTAATAACAAAACCGTAATAAATTCCACCCAGAATTGGTGTCACAACTCACGAACAGTCTACGAATACTACAAATAATGGTCTGAACGAAAAGTTTACATCTGTCTCGGAAATAGATAAAACAGAAATGAAATAGGATAGAAGGGGACGCCATGGCCTGCGGACGCATGCAGGACTACCTTGGGTCTCCGGGAAGCAGTGATAGCAACCAACCTCACGATCAGCCACTAGCTCCAAAATCTGCACAGAAAGTGCAGAGTGCAGTATTAGTACAACCGACCCCATGTACTGGTAAGTGCCGAGCCTAACCTCGACGAAGTAGTGATGAGGCTACGGCGGGGCATACAGCATATACAACCTGCAACAGTTTATGCTAACAGAAAGGAAATACAAAAAGTAATAAAGCAATAACTGGCATTAAATAAACTCGAAACCCAAATGTTCTACTAGTATTCAGCTATAACCAACCCTTAAAGGTGTTTCAACATCACAGTAATGGGCCTTAACAGAAATGAAAACATAATAACAATTGATGCGGCGCGCATCCCGATCCCAACATATAAACAACAACAGTATCAATATTCACCCTTATTTCTCCTTGTTGCGGCGTGCAACCCGATCCCAGCTGTCCATCCTTATTACTCCTCAACACATATCACCCTTATTCCTCCTGTTGCGGCGCGCAACCCGATCCCACATGTCCACCCTTATTACTCCGTGTTGCGGCATGCAACCCAATCCCACCAGACAATCACATTTCACCCTTATTCCTCCTGTTGCGGCGTGCAACCCGATCCCAATATATATTTCAGCACCAAACATAAAAGAATAAAGACAAGAGTTTCACAAGCTAACTCAAATTCCCCACATTACTTATACCTCAATCCACACAATGGAATATCACTACGATTATGAAACTTCACCAATGGAAACTACTCAGCGAGACCAACCAAGGTGCACCATAAGGCACCAATAAATCAATATAAGCCAACAAGGTAATAAAATGAAGCTACGAAACCAATAATACTTCAACAGGAACATCAACAGTTAACATGAAGCAATTAAATAATTCAATAAAGAGAACAATAGTTAACATGAAGCAACTAGAC